TGCTGCATATCAATGACTTAATTCCTCTTAGGAATATTCATTGCTATGCAGACGATAGTACAGTGCATGCGGGGTATCTCGGACAAGCAGCGGCTGGGCAGGCGTTAACCAAGGAGAAACGGGAGAATCTTGTCATTGAGCTCAATCGGGCTTTGGACCACATTTCTGTATGGGGTACCAAGAACTTGGTTGAGTTCAATGCTAAGAAAACCCAGGTCTGTGCTTTCACGGCAAAAACGTCGCCATTCCTTTTATGTCCTTCTCTTCAGGGCACACCACTGGAGCTAGAGAGCAGTATCACCATGCTCGGTATGGAGATTCGCTGTGACTTAAATCCAAAGAATTACATCGAAAGTGTGATAAAAACAGCCTCACGCAAACTCGGAGTCCTGAACAAGGTGCGGCGTTTCTTCACGCCCGAGCAACTGTGCTTGTTATATAAGACGCAGGTGCGGTCTTGCGTGGAATATTGCTCGCACCTCTGGGATGGCTCCGCTAAGTACTTGCTCGATGCTTTGGATAGGTTACAGCGGCGCGCAATCCGCATCATAGGCGATGAGGAGGTGACTAAACACCTCGAGCCTCTTCAATTACGCCGTGACGTGGCGTCACTAGGCGCGTTCTATCGTCTGTACCACGGCGAGTGTTCTGAGGAGTTATTCTCTCTTATTCCACCTTCCCCTTTCCTTCAGAGGACCACGCGCGCTGGCTTACGTTGTCACCGTCTAACTGTGGCTACAATTCCAACGCGTACAAAGAAATTTGGTGACTCATTTCTTTGTCGTACTATTCGTAAATGGAATTCTCTGCCCGCTCACGTGTTCCCTCCCTCTTACAACCTGGGATCCTTTAAAAGAGGCGTGAAGAAGCAACTTGCAGGCCGGCAGGGTGAGGATCGCTGGTGTGGCAGTTAGAACTGCTGTATCAGCTATCTTCGCGTCTGGACTTCACCTTCACTTGGCATCAGGTGGGGTGGAGTCATTTGTCGGATCTATCTATAAAAAAAAAAAACGTAAGTTATTAGGTAAAGATAAGCTCGCGAGGGGGTAGGAATCCCAGGCGTAACAAGCGGCGACTCATAACTGGACCCCGCAGTTACGCCTGGAGGGTGAGGGGTAGATTGGGGAGTTGGTTTACCTAGTAGGTACGGGAGCTGGTCGGCTGGCTAGCGGCTCGGACTGCGGTACGTGAGACTAGCCAGGCGACGCTGTGAACGGAGAAGCCCACCGGGCCGGAGGACCGGGCTGCTGTTCGGAGGCGGGGTGGTTTGACGTATGCCACGCTTGCGTGAGTTTACGTCAAAGTATATCCACACCGACTAGCGGCCCTCGGGCGGCTCGCTGCTTACCGAATGCACCACGCAATAAATTACCGGCGTCGCGAGGGTTTGTTAACAGCAAACCAACGTGGCGTTGGTCATTGTCGTGGATATAATACATTTTTTCTCCCCGTCATCGGAAAAAAAAGGTAAAGATAAGCTAATAGAATTAATAAAATAACAACATTACTTTTTATCTCTTGGAATATTATTTCGGTCATGTTATTTATTTGAAAATACATTAAAGGTCCTTTATGCATAAGTACTTAGAATAAATTGATAATGTGTTTGTGTAGATGTTTTCATGTTCAGTAAGTACCTATATTGTTTACTTTAGTTTATATTTATTGTTACATTTGAATATGGTACGATAATGTCTTTGATTATTATCGTCGTCGCCTATTTTTTCAGGAATTTGTCTTATCATGATGTTTTATATAGCCTATAACCTTCCTCGATAAATGTGCTATACTATATATATGTATATCACAAAAACATTTTTTCAATTTGAATCAGAGTTCCCGAGCTTAGCACGTTCAACCAAACAAACAAACTCTTCAGCTTTATAATTTTGACAAAATTTCGATTACCTCCGTGGCCGAGTGGTTTGTACTCTGGGTTTCATGGTGTCGCCGACTCGAGAGGTCCCGGATTCGAATCCCGGTGGGGGCAGAGATGTTTGTGTGATGAATACGGGCATTTGTACTCCAGTCTATACTAATATATGAACAGTATATGTATACTATCCGTATTATTCCAAATACCCTAGTATTCCAAAACAAAAGCCCTACAGTGCTTACTTTGGGGCTAAATTAATTGGTGTGAGTGTTAGTGTAGATTTCGATACTTTGGTGGTATTGAAACATTCCTATCTCAACGAATTTCTACAAATCGTCCGCACGACGCGCAAGTCGCATTAGAAATTTAGAACGCGCAGCGCAACGCATCGTCGCAAGCATTTAAGTTTTGGAAATTGTACAATAAAAAATCTTTCTAAATTTCTTCTAAATTGTACCATTAAACATAGCTTTCTTAGTACTGTAAGATAATATTGTATGAATACATACAGATGTAACCATACAATATTTTCTGAAAACACATGATGAGATAAATTATAAATATGGCAAACAACGCGACTGTTACTCAAATCACTTCATGAGTAAATGTAGGTACTGTCCTGTTGGTATAGTACTACAATGGTTTTCATAATACACTCATTAAATAAGTCTAATGAAACATATTGTATGGTTTTGAACTATTGAATGATTTTTACGACTGTAATATTTTTATACTACTAGCAGCCGCCCGCGACTTGGTACGCGTGGAGTTAGTTATTTGCCCATACTTTTTGACCCCAAAAGGGGGTTTATTTCTAAATTATTAGTACACCTCTACACCATCTATAGAAATTTAACATATATATGTTAAATTTCAAGTCCCTTACTTCAAAAACATAAGACTTTCGTACAAACTTCCAACTTCCCTTCCGTGAAATTCGTTCTTAACGGATATCTACATCCTTATGGAACCTACCGACCAAATTTGAAGTTTGTAGATATTAAGGTTTCTGAGATTTCGTGATTAAGCAATGAGTGGTATTTCGCTGCGACGTCGGCGTCGTCTGCGTGAACGCAGAAAAAATACCTACGATTATTAGTGCAGTCATTGAAGCGAAAAATACGTACGGTCTTACCTCCGAATTTTTTAACAGTGAACCGATTTGCATGAAATTTTGGAATTAGACTCATCCTACCCTTAACTTCAAAAGTGAAATGATCTGAACTCTGCCTATTATTTTTAAGGGGTGTAAACAGCCCCTTAATGGAAAAATTGACATTGAGCCATTTTATCGCTAGAAAACATGTCTAATAGTAAGTGGTGAAATTGTAAAGTATTTTCTAACATGATTACCTCATATTAAAATCATTTTCAACCCCTTGAAAATCTTACAACCCTTGCAAACAACCCCTAAATTTAAAAAATCACAAAAAGTACTTTGGTATGACATAAAAAGATGTAAGTATAGAGTAAGTAATATTTTATATTCTCTATAATAATTATCAAATTTTTAATCCCCTTTCAACCCTTGAAAACTACTCCTTGTTAAAAAATTGATATTTTTTTTATAAAATGAAAAGGATTTAAATATTATCCTACACTCTCGAAAATGATTATCATATTCTTAAGCTTTTCTACCCTTAAAACTACCCCTAAATTAAAACAATAAATATATATGATTACATATTTAAAAATAATTTAATTTAGAGTAAAAAATTGCCATTTAATGAATAAAATATTTATAAATTATATAAAATTGTACTATTATTATTAAAATATGTATTGAAATTGGGTGCCTAGTTAAAATATTATATTAAACACGTGCTCATTCCTATGCAGACGGAAATATACTGGTCACATTATAACGAATAAACGGAGCACGCACAGCTGATCACATGACGTTTTCGTTGGCCCCTTCACTCAAATGTGTTATATATACATATAAGAACGTTGGTATGTATTCATGCCTACGTTTCCAAAATATATGAGCCATATTATGTATATACATACACATTATAATAGTTGTGGGTCTCTATTATACTGCGTACTTTCACATTGCTCCAAATATTCACACTCCGAAATTTTCAGTTACTAAGTAGAAAAAAATATGATAAGTTTTTGGACCATAACTCCTTCAATTTTCATGCTATCAGAATTTATAAAAAACCATTGTAAAGGTAATTAAGAGAGCTACGACATCCTTCATTGCAATATCTAGTAAAACACCTTTTTCTAAAACGGTGAAGAGTTAAAGGGCTTAAGAGAGGCTGTGATTGCGCTGCCACGCGCTCTTTAAACAATCATATCTCCGTAAATTTTTGTTTGACAGAAAAAACAAAAAAACCAAATTGTTTGTCAGAAAATACCTAAATTTTTAATCCGTACACTTTTATACGTATCTGTCGTCGAAAAAATTAGATTTTTTTTAATCGTGACTTTTTTGAAAAATATGTGTGCTGAAGCAGCCAAACTGATACTATCTATCAAACTCTTCATAATAAAGTTAATTCTAGGCGGAATACGATTAATTTTAATTTTGGTGGAAATGGCACTTATGAAACCCATTGATTTAAAAGAAAAAACATTAGATGCTCCCCTTATTTGCAATACAGCTCACTTATTTTACGTGCAAAAGACTTTTAATAGTGCTCATTTTAAAGCTTATTTCAAGCACTACAAAACCCTTTTGTGTTAGAATGCATAAAATGCATCTGCTCGCCGCTAGATGGCATTGACCACATCGATTAAATTTCAGACAAAATAAAAAACGGCTTTGATGTTTAATATCTAGCTTAATATTTCACTTAGAATACTTTATAAAAAACCAAATTGTTTATTGTTTTACCTGCTACAATTTTGTTCTTTGTAAAAATTTCGATAAAACGTATATTTTTGGAGATATTTGCAAAAAACCAATGAAAAACGTGAAAAAATTGCGAATTTTCATTTGCCAATAACATGAAAAGTATTTTTTAGGTTATTTTGAAACAAAAAAAAATCACCCGGAGTTCAAATCATTTTCACTTTTGAAGTTAACGGTAAGATGGACCTAATTCCAAAATTGTATGCAATTCGGTTCACAGTAAAAAAATTCGGAGCAATAATGCTTCAATGACTGCACTATATACCTTTTAAAATAACATTCATGTACCCGTTTCTTCTTCTTCTTTACTTTTCATATCTACAGAAAGTGCAGTAACAGAGGGAGACTGTCTTTTTTAAAATTGTCCTTCAAAAAGTGCTGATTTTCACCCTTCATTTCAGAATTAAGTCATAAGTTGTGACTGAAGCAGATGGAGAGAATTAACGATATTTTTTTTAAGAAAAAAATGCACAAAACCATCCTTGTCTTTTAAAAACAACTATTGACCTCGCCCATATGATCAAATTTTGAAGCGTTCTATGAAATTGAAGGCAATCCTCAGGTATGGTATGACGCTTTATACCTGCAACCAGGAATGACAGTAGCAAAAATTTATAATATATATAAACAGGAATTTACACTTAAATATAACGATGAGCACAAATGTGTTTCTTTCGAATATCTAAAAAAGGTATTTTTTACCAAATTTAATCTAAGATGCAAATCGTTAAAAAAAGATACATGTAACAAGTGCGATAAATTTCAAATGAGAATTCGTGATGCCAAAAGTGCCGCCGAAAAAGAAAAAGTAGAGGAAGAAAAAATACAACATTTAAGCGTGGCTGAAAATTTGAGACTGTAAATGAAGAGAGATTTTGAGCAAGCACAAAATTTACCCTCAGTGGAATGCTTAACCTTTGATTTGGAGAAAACATTGCCTTTACCCCGCATTCCGGCGAATATTGCATTTTACAAAAGGCAGTTGTGGTTCTACAATAGTGGTATCCATAGTGCATCTAATGATACTGGGCTTTGTTATGTATGGGTAGAAAAAGAGGCAGGAAGAGGTGCACAGGAAGTACGTTGGTGCCTAATAAAATATATAAATCAAAAACTAAAACCCACGGCTGAACATTTAATCCTATGGAGTGATTGCTGTGGTGGTCAGAATAGAAACATCAAAATCGTCCTAATGATGAAAGCCGTCTTAAGCTCTCATCCAACCCTGAAAACCATATCATTCCGATTCCTTGAGTCTGGCCATACTTTCTTACCAAATGACACAGATTTCTCAAAAATTGAAACCGCACTCAAGCACCATCAAAGCGTATATACACCTGAGGAATACATCAATATTATTAAAACCTGAAAAAAGTTAAACCTCTTCAAGTTTACAAAATGACAAAGACTGATTTTTTTAGTACAACTAAACTGGAAAAGAAGTTTATCAATAGGAAGAAGTTTACGGACTCATTTAAAGTTAGTTGGCCACATACAAAAGAAATAAAGTTGGATAAAGATAAAATGTTTTCTATTTTTATGCGGTCTACGATGGAAGACGATTTCAATGAGTTGAAAATTGATAAAAGAATAAAGCGAGAACTGCAATACATAAAAGAATCTGATTTTTGTTTATTGTGGCCTAATGGCAAACCGATTGCTCCAGCGATTGCAATTAGTGGACTTATAATCCATGTACCACTACATACCTGAGGATTGCCTTCAATTTCATAGAACGCTTCAAAGTTCTGAAGAAGCAACTGATGATGTTGATAGGTTTGGTGGAGTTCCGGACTTCAAGATCATAGAACACGATGATGAAAATTGAATGTTTATAATATAAGTTTTTGATAACTTTTGGAACCATATCAGCTAATTTTTGGCATAGGTTCTAAGCTCAAAAGATCACGTTCTATTTTTGTTGTAATACATTTTCATTTTTTTTTGTTGTTTTTGTATGTTCCTCATTGTTATTTATTATTTTACATATTTATTTTATTTATATTTATAAAATAATACACTTAAATTCGTTTTGGAACGTTTATGTATAATTGCTATTTAACAAGGTTCATACAAAATTAAATTTAGCAAAAACGTTTCAAACTCGTCTTACCTATTTATATGCCCCTTGTATTATGTATTTACAAAAAATATGCATAGCATTTCAATAAACAGTTTGGCATTCCATAGTAAAACCAATAGTATTTGCCTGAAATAATTACAGGGAAAAAGTGTACCGCTAAAACACAAAATTGCGTTTATCTCAAAATGGGGTCGCTGTGGGTTGGAACGTTTTCGCGTTACTACGTCCAAATATACCATAGTTATTTATTTTGGTAAAAAATATGTTTTTCTCTAGAACACATTTAATAGCAAAAACAGATCAAGTATATGTGGATCGTTTATAGCAAAAAGTTAGAAAATAATATATTATAATAAAAGGTTCCAATTTATTTAAAACAGTCTTCGCAGCTTAAAAATACAGTATGGATTAATCTAAAAGGTTTCAAATTACATGGAACATTTTTGCAGAAATAAAAAATATATAATGATTTTGCAAAAATGTTCCAACCCACATGGATCATATAAGAAACAATTAAATGTGCGTTTTATGAATTTAGTATAATGTTCCAAGACAAGTGGAACATTATAACGATATGTTATTCTATTAAGAGTTTTTAACAATATGTTTCAGTATGCATATAATGTTTTTACTTTATTTTGAGTACACGTCCTTGGCATGATGGTGGGTTGGAACATTTGGGTCAAACTTTATTGATGAAACTAACCTAAAAATACTAGCATCTTTGTGTGCACATGATGTAATATGTCAAAAATAGTACCCTGGTTATGGTAACTCATTTTCGAGTGACTTGTGGGTTGGAACGTTTTCGCGTAACTACGTCCGCATGTAATTCGACTTGATGTCTTTCAAATCGCATAGATGGCGCTGCATTAAAATAATCTATTATGTTTATCGACCTAAGTTGCTTAAAGTGTGAAGCTAGCTTATAGCATGGTTCATTATAATGAAGCCTATGTTCACCCAACTTTTTAATAATATCGTGCCAAATTTGAAGTAAAGTCATGCAGTACTTTTTGAGTTTATCCCGGACATACATATGTAACTCAAGAGACAAACAGACAAAAATTCTTAAAAGTGTATTTTTGGCTTCGGTATCGATTGTAGATCACACCCCAAGTATTCTTTAAAAAAAATATTCAATGTACAGTTTTAACTTTCCTACCATTTTATTATACACATAGATATACACACAATCGAATAGTTTCTGTTTTAAAATCAGCCAACTATATTTTCATTAAAAAAATATAAACCCATCTACTTTGCCAAGAAAAAAAATAGGTAAAGATTCTGTAAATGATGCGTGCTGCTTAGACTTTTATGATGTGTGTATTTGCACGTCCTGATATACAATCTTGATATGTTTAATGGATGTATGTACGTGATCTGTATTCTTTCATCTTCTTTTAATGCTTTATAATATCGTTATTATTTATTCAATATCCATCTTCATGCTCTCCACCGTCTACACTGAGACTATTCAAAACACACACTGGCTGATTAAATAGATTACTACGACATTATCTGAGGCCACTGAGGCGATTTGTCTACTATACTACATTGCGGGTGGGCGCGGGCGCGGCGAGTAGACACATTCCGCTGCGCCCCGCGGGGTCTCGCTGCACAGCGACGCGTCGCGTCGTGCTGCTGCGATTAAACGATGCGCCTCGCGACGCCGACGGACGTAGCGATGCGTCTCGCGGCGGCTCGCGATATCATTGGCCTCTGCGAGTGTCGTCGCGTCTCGGTGTGAACTGACCGGGCCTCACATTTTATTTGGTAAAGTAGGTAAATATGGGTAGCACCATTTGGCGATAGTCAAAATTATGGCAAAGCGAGGCCGATTACAATTATAGTAAAATCTGCCCCCCCCCCCCCCTTTCCCTGATATAATTAAAGTAACCAAATGTAAAGCAACCGAAGTGCTTAGTCAACTTATTTGACTTGCTCGACTCGGTTGCTTAAATATTTTTACTTCCTGCACCACAAATTTCGCTTAGGTACCACCGCCCATTTATGAATATGAACTCCCCCCCCCCCCTCCCCACTAGGCTATCACCTGGCGACGCCCTTGAATCTCAACGCTTCATCCTCATATTCTCAACGTTTAATAATAAAAGAACATTTTAAAAACTAAACACGTTTCTTTAAAATGAGTATTTTATTGTTTTCAAATAAAATCACTAGAAATACATACAGCAAGCAATTGTTTATTACAAATCATTACTAATTATACCTATAAAATTACACTATAAATTATTTAGATAACAGCCAAACCTTCAAATATCACAAGTGCAAACCTATACTTACTTACTTACCTACTACATCATGGTCCGCTATTCTTATCCATGAGTTAACTACATTAAAATTTATTGATAATTAAAATACAATTAAGTAGTGTGACCGGCTTTTTTAATTTTCGGCCAAATAAAAATATTTTCCACAATGTTAACAACATGTTTTTTTAGTTAGGTATATGTGTTAATGGAAACAATGCGACTACTGCTGAATTAAATATCGTTATCGGATGTGGTGTAATTGGATGTTACTTATACCAAAGTGTGAAGATAGGTGTCTTGTTTTTAAAATAAGTGCATGGTAAACCTTCATTGGAAAACGACTCCAAATGACTCCACCCCACCTGATGTTGAGTGAAGGTGAAGTCCAGACGCGAAGATTTATTTATACTAGTAAGAAAATGGAAAACGGGCCAAACACACTTCCGCTTATTTATTAATACTAGTAAGTATACTATTAGTAGTAAGTATACTAGTGTTAATAAATAAGCAGAAGTGTGTTAGGCCCGTTTTCCGTTTTCTTCCTAGTATTAATAAATAGAGGAAGTGTATGAGTCCCGTCCACAGTGTTTTATGGAACCAAAAAAATTTACATGTTCAGGTTTTTACATAAATAGATTATTTATACCCTAAAAAAGGCATGAGTTCAATTCCCAGAAGTCTAACTCAAATACTTTTTGAGAAAAAAAATCATGAACTTATCGTGACCTTTGACCTATGAAATCTAGAATATTTTTTTATAAAGTGAATATTAACAATATATTTTTTTAATAAATATGTGTCAATCGGGCATAATCAGAGGCGTATAAACGCGTTTCTTTAGCTTAAAAAAATGCATTGGTTTGGGCAGCAATTTTTTTTTTGTATTTCGTATTTATTGTTTTTTCTCCCTAAAAACGAAAAAGTGGAACCTAGAACTTCGATAGAAATAAACCTACGGATGTGGTCTATCATACATAAATAAGCCACGTGTCACTTTTGCGGCGATTAGAAGATATTCATTTTTAAATTTTTATGCTAGGGTTGACACCGAACCTGACCTCGAAAGAAAATTTTTAAAATATAAATTTGTGTATTAGTTTTGAACGAGTTTACAATAATGTAGATTTTAGGAAATTACTACAGTACCTTTAACATATTTTTATGGGCTCCAAGCTCTATTTGCAAAAAAGGAACGCTTATGGTGATTCCCAGTCAAGGCGGAAGTCATTATAATGAATATCGATTTTCGTTTTCGGGTCTGAGTATTAACTATTAATTGTTTATTTTGTGTGTGTTTTGGAGACCCAATTAGACACAAGTTCATGCCTGCTTACCTCTACGTTTTTTTTGTAACAATAATAGTTACACCTACTAACTGATTTATGCCCAAGATTTGTTTTTATTTTCTGATCGAATGCCTGAATGATTCTGAATGAATTTTGAAATTTTTTTCAAGCAACATAGTTCATTTTTTCGTTACCGTTTAGCGTGTAAGGTACAAAGTTAAAATGTGGTCGAATAAACATAAAGTATTCCTACATTATCACATCTACATTAGGTAGGTACCTAGTATATGTAAGTATATTGTATTCGTCCACAAGTGTTGTTAATTTATTCAATTGATTGACGGTATTAATTAACAAACAAAAAATTTAACATTTTCATTTAACTCATAGTTGACCTTTGTGACAATCCTAGATCATGAAAGTTGACCTTTATCTAAATTCTGTCATAACTTCTTAAAACCGCAAAAGTGAAACCTGATTTTTTTATGGGTGATAGAACTTGGCTTATAGAACCTTTCTGTACTAAATCCAGGTTCCACTTTTGCCGATATTTGGAGAAAAAAATTAAAAATCGAAATTTAAAAAAAAAATATTTCTCGGAAACTAGGACACTTATAAATAAAATAAAATTGCAAAATTATGCCTTCAATAATTCCTTATCAAGTGGCAAATATCTTAAGTACAGATATGGAACCGTCTTTTGAGGAAATTAAATTGTTAATTTTTAAAGCTCAAATTTCAAAAACTTTGCTACTTCATATCTTTTTTTTAAAAGGAAATAGTGATCTGAGAATTGAACTCTTGCCTTTATTAGGGTATAAATAATTGATTTATGCAAAAATCTTAAGGTGTAAATTTTTTTGGTTCCATAAAACACTGTGCCGTCTTCCAAAGGAGGTTTACCAAGGTTACAAAGGATGCTTGCATACGTAATATTTACAGTTCATTTATCATGAATATCACCACTGGTACTGCAAATTTTTATCACGGAATTACTAAGTTGATACTTGACACTGCTTGAAGTGAAGGCACCGGTGTGTACAAATAAGGTTGACGTCAGCTTTATTTGGTATTATATCACAATAATACTAATGGTGTTCTAAATATATCGTGGTAAAGGTTTACATAATTTTATACAAAAAAAAAAGCGATTGAAACAATTAAAACCTACATCGTAATCATCTCACTACTTTGAACTATATAATTCAGGATTAACTTGGAACTTTTGCGTTAACATTATCGCTAGCTAATGCATGCGCCTTTTTCTGAATCGAATAAATGAATTTACCATACAATTTTTTGTACATTTTCACATTAACTTCAAGTAAGAATAAATTTCATGTCCTAAATAGCCTCTATCCTTATTTACAAGGTCCCCTTTATATTTATTCTAAATTTCGTTAAATTGGATAAAAAAATATAAAATGCATTGGATTTCATCTATTTGATTCCAATAATATAATTTATTTTCCTGTTAGCGTAATCAGGTTACTTTTTAAAGCATATTATAATATCTCTACTAGGTGTACTTGTTTGTCATGTCATTGTAACATATCAACGTCAACATTTATCTGATTTATTGACCATTTTGGCTAGGTATGAATTTAACATTTGTCATCTTCAAATGTGGGATTAGACGATCCTTTTAATTCATGCAATCTTGATATATCAGCTTTTTGTTTCCTCTGTAACAATGATTTTACTTATAGTCTTATTAGTAATATCTATAAAGATATTAATTAAACATACTTTATCATCATAATTAATTAATCTCTTCCTTGGATGGCCCCAACATTCTTCTTTTTCAAAATTCTGCTACACTAACGTCAAAATCGTGTCTCAATAGTGTTTCAGTGGTATCGATTTTTGACACAGTTCTTGTTACTAAAACATAAAATAAAAAATGTTTATAGACAACAATAAATATAATGAGTATGCCGATGTATTTGTAACTTTGAGTTTTAGTAACAATAAACTGTGTTAAGAATCAAAACTACAGAAACGCCATTGACACACGATTATTACTTTAACGTAGCAGCCGACGCGGCGACGGCGACGCCACGTCGACGAGTTCGTGTAGAAAAATTGTATGGTGATACGAAGTTCGCCAGGTCAGCTTGTTTTAAATAAAACTCAGAATTGTTAAAGAAATCGCTAATAAACAAAGGTACCCTTACCTTAGATCTGTAAACTTCATTTGTTAGTTTTTTTACTCCAGCGAAGTGGTTTTCTATGTCTTTCAATGTTTTTCCTTCTGTTTCAGGCAATATGAAATAAAATGCTATGCAGCCTGTGAAACTATAAAAAGAATAATTATTAATCCATTATTATATGTTACTGTAACCTAAACCTAAGATTTAACAATAAAAACAAAAAATTACCAACTCTTAATGGTAAAATTCCGAACAGTTTTGAGATTAGAACTTGTACCATCATTCATTTGGTAAATCTTATGCCTGTTCTACACGTCGACAGATTCATCTGCAGATGCCATCTTCGGATGCGTCCGCCGACGTATAGAGGGGGTAGTTTGCTCGTCTCTGGTAGATATTGTAAGTCGTCAGATGCTTCTGCCACCATTCCGTCTGTTGTCCGTTTTAGTGGCACGCAATAAAGGGTTTCAGGTCAGCGCGAAATTCCACACTACACGTCAGCGTCTCACTCGACGCATCAGTAGTTGTGTTGCGAAGTGTTGCGAAATTGAAGTGTACGCGTGCCTTGGTTTGTTGCTTTCGTTCGCCATAATGGCTAATACAAATCAATTAGTCTTTAAAAGTAATAAATAAATAAATAGCTTCGGAAGCATCGATCACAACATCATTTTTTTTAATTGTTGCGTGCGTGTTGCTTCTGTCGACGTGTGGTCGGCTCTTGGTTCTTATTAAGGTTGGTAACTGTTACTAACACTATTTGATCCAAAATTAGTGACAAGTAACTCATTTGCAAAGTTTCTAAATAGAGTATGATATAAGAGAGGTGGTGGAGAGGCATTTTTCTGTCGAATTAAACCGCCCGCCCGGCGCCCATTTGGAATATTTCCGATGATTAACTTACTGAGCAGATAAAGTGGTGATTGAAAACTCTACTGAGGGATTGCGAAGCGTCGAATGTCAACTTTTTTCATTGTGCAGCAATTTGAAAATTTTGAAATTTTGAAAAGTTTTAAGTGAAGTAGATAACCTACTTGAGTTTCATATACAAGTAAACATGAATATTATTACCTCACTATACAGTAAAATCCGTATGTACCCCATATAGAAAGAGAGTCCACCATGCTTATATACATCTTGTTCGTGAGGAAACCGAGTATATAACCCACTGCACTCGCCAAGCCAGCACTGCCGGATCGAGTTTTGGCACTGAACACCTGATAAGAACAATACCGACATTTATTTAAGGTGTACATACAGTCAATAGATCGTATATTTATGGGTAATCTGATTAGGTTCGAAAGGTGATTTCCTACACGCAGAATTAATTTAATAATAACTAACCAAGTCCACGTCAGTATTATGAAATATCCAGTAATTTGTTACAGTTTGATTTCCCATACTTTGAAAAATAATTAAATAAAAATTGTGTCTGACCCGATGGTGATCGATGCGATGTACGAACATCGATCACTATCAGGTCAGATACATTTTTTGTTATACCTTACAATTTACAATTACAAATTTTATTATACCTACGAAGGTACTTACAATTATTAACATCCCAAAAAAGTTTAAATAAAATTTTCTAAAATCGTTCTGATTTTAAGGTCATGCTTTTACGAATTTGAGCTACTATAAACAAAAAAAAACTATAAAGGTAAGTAAAAAAAGAGATGATAGGTCTAACGTAAGTGGTAATAGTCTTGATATCGAATAACCGCGGTGAAGATAGGATTTATCCGAAAAGTTAACAAAGAAGGATTTTTTTTTCTTTTGGAGGACACAGGAATAACACAATATCTAAAAAAACAATGGAACAACTAAGCCTGTTATTTTTTTAAGTAGAAGCCATATTTGATACTAGGTTTACAAACCTCTCCGATTAAAATCCAAGGTAATAACCTGATGCCCGTGTGCGTGATAAGTGCCAGCAACATTAACAGTGTGGTCGGCATCCAAACATAGGTATTTTCCTGAAAAACATATTATGCCGCCTTATTAATAAACGAAGACGAACGCATGGATTAGTAACTTTATGTTTTGTCTCTTTCGATTGAATGACAAATGGCATATGAGTGACATGAACAAAACACGGCGTAACTAGTCTAAGCTTATTCCTTGTTTATTAATATGTAACAACCGAAGTATATTTTTTTTTCACTGAGCCAAATTTTATTCAGCTCTTTGAGCTTTTCTCAAGCCTTTTACTTAGAACCTATGTAATTTATGTTTTACTGAATAGTTTTATCATCTTTCTTTCATTTAAATCAAATGAATTTCCGAACGAATAATAGGTACTGTAACGCCCGCATGCGTTGCCATCATTCTTGCTTATTTATTTTCTAGAGTAAACGGTTGGTACTTAGTTAAAAAAATAAAAAAAAGTACAGAATGGGCTTGTAACTTTGTATTGTTTCGGTTCAAGAGACGGCATTCCGAAAAAAAAGCGTAAACACGCTGTCCCACGACCTGTGTTGTCGCGGGCGAGACCGCGCCGCGCAGGGTTGCCAAACGTATGAGAACTCTCACGTTCGAGATTTAGCAACCTGTTTACATGATACGCGGTAAATAGAGATCTCGTAAATTTAGCTCTATTTACCTGGTGTCATGTATACAGGCTGCTAAATCTCGAACGTGAGAGTTCTCATACGTTTGACAACCCTGCCACCCTGCCGTCCCAGGTCGTGGGACAGCGCCTTAATACATATCCCGCCCGGGGCTATTCGCCTAACGGGATTGCTATGGCTATCACTATCGCTTATTATTTCATTTTGTTATTTCTGACCGCCGAAGGTTTTCAAATGACCCGCAGTCGTTTTTTTATTTTGTATTGGTAACAACAATAAAAAAGACAATGAGCGTAAGGTATTTGAAAACCTTCGGCAGTCAGAAATAATGAAATGAAATTCGAAAGCGATAGAGAAACCCATAGCAATTCCGTTAGGCGATTGACCCCCGTGCAAGTTAATTTGTCTGTGGTTTTGCTCAAGAAGTTTGCCGCTACCTATAACAGATATAATTGGTTTAAAGCTATTATCGGACAAAAATATAGAATCAGAGTATTACTAAGAAATCGTATTTCTTTTTCAAAGTTTTCAAGGTTCTCTATTGCTGGAGAACCTCATGGTACTGACATTTTATATTTTAAAGGCCGGTCGCCATAGAATAGAATAGAATAATAGAATAATTATTTATTTGCGTTTGAACAGGGTAATCAAGGTCATAAATAGTTACATATAACTATACTGTAGGTTTCACCTATTCAGCTATAGATCGTAGCATGCAAATTTACATAAGTTTTTTTCAAATTAATTAATACCATGTAACACAATTGAATAAAAGTTACTTAACAGGTCACAAAATAGATAGTCAAAAATATAAAAATTCAATTAAAATCAGGTCATATTAAAATGTGAATCAAAAATATAATTAAATCAGTATATGTCACTCAAAATCTCATCCACCAAAATTACTATTATTTTATATATTAGCTATTACAATTCAAGAATTCCTGGACAGAGTAGAATTTACGTTCAATGAGCCATCTATGTAGTGTTATTTTAAATCTACTGAAAGGCAAATCTCTTATTGAATGTGGAATATTATTAAAAATTTAAATGCACATATAGTAACAGTTCTTTTTAAAACGTGTGCTTTTCGGGATTGTATCAATGACTAACCTTTTACAATGTCTTGTATTTGTAAGAAATATCTCACGGGCAGTTTTAAAGTAATTTTGATTTAACTTTACGAACTTAGATATCTCCAGGATATAGAGGCATGGCAAAGGTAAAATATTTAGGAGTTTGTAAAATGGTTTGCATGACATATCGGGTGCAATCCCGCATATTGCCCTTATGCACTTTTTCTGTGCTACAAATACCCTTTGAATGTCCGTACTATTTCCCCAAACAATAAGCCCATATCGCAAGACCGATTCCACATAAGCAAAATATGCTGTTAGAGCCGTATTTTTAGTTGCTGTTTTAGTAAGTTTAAAAAGTGCATAAGCAAATCTATTTATTTTATTGCATACCTTGTCTACATGTAATTTCCAATCAATTTTTTGGTCAAGCTCAATGCCCAGAAAAGTAGCACTGCTTGTTTTTTTAATAGAATGATTCCCGTAATGTACATTCAATGTCCGATTGTAACCGTAGTTCATATAATGTGTTTTGTTAATATTGTTTTTAAAATTGTTATCATTAAGCCACGTTATTATCGATTCAATTGTTTTATTTATGTCATTTTCATGGTAATTTATGTTTTGATTTTTATCACTTGTTACTACAACTGAAATGTCATCAGCATATAGGATGCATTTATGTTTTGTCAGTTTAGGTAGCTCATTCACATAGATTAAAAACAGTAAAGGGCCAAGAATGCTGCCTTGGGGCACACCATAATTAGTTTCTGTGAAATTTGATTTATCTTTATGAATCACTTGTTTATTACTAAGTTGAGCAATTTCCACTGACTGCATCCTATTTTGAAGATATGATTTGATCCAACTTAGTGCTTTACCTCTAATTCCACTTTGCTCCAATTTAAAAAATAGTTTATTGTGTGATACAAAATCAAAAGCTTTTACATATCAAATAGGAGGACTGAAGTTTCCTTCCTATCATTTATACTTCTTAGAGTGTGATCTACTAACTCAAAGGCAGCCAGTGCAGTGGATTTATTTTTCAGGAAGCCATATTAATTATCATTCAATACTTTGTATTTAACAAAGAATGACGTAAGTTTATCATGCATTATCTTTTCATATATCTTAGATAGAATTGGTATTAGTGTAATTGGTCGATAATTGTCTAATTCTAACCTAGAACCTTTTTTAAAGAGCGGCTTAACAATTGAATATTTCAGTTTATCTGGGAAAGTCCCAGTTTCCAAACATAAATTTATTAAGTATGCTAATATTGTGACTATCTGATCCCTGCAGCTTTTAATAACCTTTGTGTTAATTTCATCAAAGCCTTCAGAGTTTGTATTATTCAATGTCATGATAGTTTTCTTAATGTCACATGCGTTAATAGGAGAAAGATAAATTGAATTTGTTAAGTTGTCACATAAGTTTTTTTTATTAGGATTATTTGTATTATAATAATTATTGGAATTATAATTATTATTTGAATTCTTATCTGTCAATGTAATAAAGAAGTCATTAAAAATAGAAGCTATTATATTTGGATCCTCAATAATTGAGTCATTGTGTTTAATTCTGTCTATAAAATTGTTGTAACCCGATACATAGTGGTGTTATTGAATTTTGAAGTTCAACGCTATGTTTGTGATCTTTGAGTTTGGTTCAACATATTTAATTGTAGGCACGTTTCACCGTGGAAATAGCGGCGCGCCGGTTTGATTTAAAATTCGTATTCTAATTTCAAATCACATCGTGGATTTCACGGTTAAAAGTGAGTTTGTTCTTATATGGCACTGCTGGAAATATGCCTATAAATTAAATAAGTTCACCTAAAGAAGCACACAAGATCTTGATAAATACTTTTTATAATTAATTCTAAATTTTCTTACCGTTACTGAATTTACGTCTCCCACAGTGAATGTTGCATTAGCTGGCCCAGAAACTTGCGGTGGCTCGTACTGAAATTTAAAATTTCAAGGAGAGCATGGTGAGATAGTCATATTAATTTTTTTGGTAAAAAAACAACAAAAAAAATTAAAACTGCTACACCAGACGAGTCTTTTCAACTAACGCTCCGTAATTACGGACCTTTATTTAATTGAAAAGACTCGACATAATTATGAGGCATTTAATTTTTATATACAAGTAAGTAGCCTATGGTCATAATTATGTAAAACAATACGAAAGTGTACTTTTTAAGAACAACAAAACATCACAGAACATAAAAAATCTTGCTTTCATTTTTCTATTAACAATCATTAAAGTTAAATCCTTTTTACACAAACCTTTTTCAACATAAAATAAGATTAATAATCCCCAGACCCCGGCTGAGGATGAGCACCGCGATATGATATATAACAACGCGGTGTGTATAGTATAGTACGTTTATATCATGCTCAATTATCAAATTAACATGGAGTTTGGCAGTTAGACGCTATAAAAAAAATGATATAGGTAATATAAATTGTGGTGCTCATGCTAAAGGGACTGAATTGCAATAAAAAAAATGATACCAACCACAGAGCACAGAAAAATACATTGGCTACTGCTACGAACCATCTTCATGTATCCATCATAGCCTGCTACGAGTAGGCAGCACACCGTAGCGCCTGCCGTAGAGAACAATGTTAGCGGTCTCTTCCCTGTGTAGTGTACCAGCACAACACAGAAGCCAGTCCCTACCATCTGCAGGACGCCGAGTATGAGAGTCGCATAATATTTGTCGATGGGCGCTTCCAACATTTGAAAAATCGATACTGCATATGTCTAAAAATAAACATAAACACACTAGCTAAAACTTTACAAACTTACATTTGTTGTTTTTTTTATTAATTTAATATTGTCTACCCCTTTACATAAAAAAAACTGTTAAGTTGGACCTGGTTGGACAACACGCACGGATAACATAGCAGCCACAGACCTAGATTTAATTAGACGACGCATGTGTCCTATTTAAATGGCAAAAAATGTGGAAAAGCATGGGCACCGGGAACCTATTTCAATTCTATCGTTTTTACAGCTTATTATGGGAAAATTTGTCAATTAAAAAATTATGATTGGCATCCTTATTTTATTTTCATAAAATTATTTTTTCGAACACGAAGTACATACAAAATTGTGGTATCTATGACTGTGATTGCAACTTTCAGGCTAAGAACTCACGGTCCAACTTTTCCTGCACCTACCGCGGGCGGCTGTAAAGTTGTTTGCCGCAAACAACCGCGCCACAAAATAGACAGAAGAAGAATGGAATTTCAAATTCTACGTGAGTTGCGTTCCCGGCTAAGAACTGACGATCCACACATAAAACAATGTTTTTGTTTCTTCCAGTAAACAGTGACGACCTCCGTGGCCGAGTGGTTTATACGCCGGGTTTCATCATCATTTTCAATCATATTTGACGTGGCAGATATCGCCGCCTCTTTCTGACATTTGGAGTTTTCCTTATAGACTAAGGATTTCCTTATTAGAGTATGAACATTTTTCTTAATAAAAAGAAATCAAATCTAATTCATATTCGACGACCTCCGTGGCCGAGTGGTTTGTACGTCGGGTTTCATGGTGTCGCCGACTCGAGAGGTTCCGGGTTCGAATCCCGGTGGGGCCAGATGTTTGTGTGATGAATACTCCAGTCATGGATGTTTAATATGTATTTCTATGTAAATATACTTATATATGTACAATATATGTATTCTATCCGTTACCCTAGCAACTCATAACACAAGCCTTACAGTGCTTACTTTGGGGCTAGGCTAATTGGTGTGAAAAAAAAAGTTTATCAACTCGATGTAGGATTGTCGGTAAAGCAAAACTGTAATAATTAGACTTGCAACGAATATTCGGTTACTATTCGGTATTCGGCCTATTCGGCTGCTTTTATTATATTCAGCCGAAAACCGAATATCTACATATTATTCGGCCGAATAACGAATACTTAAATAATATATTTTGTCATAGAGAAATAATTGGTAAAATGAAAAATTAAAATCGATTGATTACATTCATATTTTCATTTCTGTTATATAATCATTTAAGTAGTCATTGGTACATAATCATCTTCTGAATTGGAAAAATGGAGGATTCTATGTATTTGAATTATTGTGGTAATCAAAATTTAGAAGGGTAAGGTTCTCATTTCTTTTATAATCATTTATTAAGTAGTCATTGGTACATAAAACAGGTACATAATTTAATCATTTACTGTATTAAACAAGTTAACAGTTTTTAATTCATTCAGTCATGTGATGAATGGTTACATAATAGCAATAATTTAAATTTTAAGCGCCGTTTTTGGCCATATCTCAAAAATTGGTTTTGTCATTTAGCCGCATTTTAGCTTGAGGACGGCAGATTAGAATAAAACAAAGGAGCGCGAAACAATCACGTCTGTACAAGTTTTTGGCGCTAAAATCCAGCCGAATACTTTTGTCTAATATTCGGCTATTCGGTCAGGGGCCTCGCCGAATATTCGGTATTCGGTATACTGCCGAATATACTATTCGTTGCAAGTCTAGTAATAATACATTATATTATTTATTTTTTATTGAACTGCTAGATGTTTAAATCAAAAGAAAATTTTACTAGCTCCAAGCCAAGTAAAATCCAAGCGGACCAGGCAGGATCTATAAAGGTGTTAATTTGACAATGCGAAGATATGGCGCTGCCTTGCAGCCTAAGGCTAGAGAAAATTCGACGCGGCCATAAGGGCCGTTTTAGCATAATGGTCAGTGCATTAAAACATTTTAATTAACAACTATAGCAATAGCAAAAACTGTAATTTTACCTGTAATGTGGTCATACCGCTGAAGTGTCCAACAAAAAAACTGTAGCAGACGAGAGTGAAAGGTATCAGGAAACTCCTCGACATGTAATTCGACACCTTTTCCGAAAATGACTCGTCTATGCCGTCCTCTTCCGCTATAATCAATATAAGTAGTTAATGAGCAGTTGTTTAACTTGTTATTTCTGTAGGTATTTGGTAGTAGGTACGTGGTGTGCTAGATCATTTTTGTGACAACATTAAAAAGAAATACTAGTAAAAATGATAATTTAATGTTTTTTTTCCACATTTTGCCTATTGCCTCAATGCACTTTTTCATATAAATAAACCAATAATGAAAATATGGGTTTGTCTTTTACCACATAATATCTTTAGGCATGAATGTAATATCCACAATAATTAAAAAGCAGAACCATCATATAGCAGAAAGTTCACATTCGGTATCGTCTTTTAGTATACGAATTTAATTTAATAATTTCACTTTTCCGTGTTTCATTAGGCGAAGGTCTTACTTTTTGTCACCACCTAACCTAACCTGCGTTAGGTTGACCACAACACCGAGTCTATCGAACTTAATAAACGTTATGCTTAACGAAATTATGAAGAATAAAATTTTGTCATCTTAAAAGTATGTCATTGTGAATTCGGAAATATAAACATTAAGCTAACCAATGATTATTACATTTAAAGCAAAATAGGCCTTGAAAAAATTCCTTTAAAGAATATTATGCCAACTTTGTTATGCCAAATGAATTTGAAAAATGAAAGAGAAGTAGTGTGCAATGGTTCACTTAATGGCATATGGGCATAAAGGACTCTTTCATCAACAACCTATTAATGTCCCCACTGCTGGGGCACAGGCCTTCCCTATGGGTGGAATAGGGAAGATTGGGCCTTGACCCACCACGCGGGCCCAGTGCAGACTGGTGGGTGCTAACGACTACAGATGCAGCCAGGACCAACGGCTTAACGTGCTTTCCGAAGCACGGAGAAGATCGAGATAGTAAATTTTTGGTCACCCATCCAATGACCGACCACTGCGCTAACCACTTGCATCATCGAGCTCCACATAAAGGCCTCTTTGGTTGGCGTTATATCAAAGCAGCAGACGGAAAACTTACGAAGACTATCGATCGTCAAAAGTATTTCAAGGCATTACAGTCTGCAAAGTCTGCAGACTTAAATGCTTTGTTTGCATGCTAAGCTTAAACTCGTAGTTAAACTTTATGATATAAGTTTTAACCATGTAGTTTATCCTAATGTAATAGGTAATATTTACGATGGCACCAAAAATAAAGTAAGTCTAATGAATAAACATCATTTAATTTTAAACTTCTCAAATATATTAAAAGTACTTATTTTTTTCACTTATATATATTCATTATATTCGCAAACACAAAATAGCGTTATATTCTTCGTTATATATGGACTAAAAGTGATTTGAATTAGGAATTGTGAATACTGTTAGTAAAAGTTTCCATCACCAAACACCCCTATCATAAACATCTTATGAACAAGCACAGGCTGTATTAAAACTAACTGGTCAAATAATAACATAATATGATAAAAGAGAAATAACTGAAACTATAAACTATACTTTGAAACCTAAGCGCAGCGCTATGGCTCACTTGCACTTTAGTAAACAACCTACTAATTAATATATGTGCCTTCGATCAATAATTCTAGTATGTGCCCAAGTTTTAGTGCACCCCAAGTTGGTATTCCAAAAACAGAAAAAAAAAATAGAAAATACTAGCTTCCGACCTCAACCTCGACCGCGTTAATTTTTGAATTTGTTATAGAGTTATATATATTATTACCTATTTTCGTTTTGTAGAAAGTTTGAATGTCTTTTAACTCGGCTTCAACTGACTGTGCATTTGTCCACCCTCGGAGCCATTGTAAACTCTGAAATAAAAAGAAAAAAATATTATTCAGCATTTTAATCTACTATCACTTAACAAATATATTACCTATTTGTCTTTACCTTTCTGGCGTCGTCAATTTGTTTTTTTGAAACTAACCAATGCGGAGACTCAGGCACGAAGAATAATGCGACCACTGCCAATACCTGCGAATGAAAGATGTGATCGACTAATTAATCAAAATTAATGAAGAGTCTACTCTATTGGTAAACACCATTAATGGGAACACCCAAATTTTTAACCTAAGTACTAATCATTTGTATGGTTTGTGTAAATCTGACGACATTGCAAAAAGTATCATCAGAGGTGCCTCAACTTATGAATTGGATTTCTTTCCCCGTCGACAGTTTTGCCACTTAGGGCACTTCTTGGCTAGACACACGCAGCGTAAGATGCGTCGTGCAACTTGCGTCGTGTTGTGCGCATTTATTACGCTTTATTACGGATGTTCCGATATGAGTAAGTAGCAAAACAAGTAAATACTTGATACTGTTGTATTGATACCAAGTAAACACAATAAGTTCCGATACATGTAAATACGAGTAAGAAATCGATTATGCTGTTTGATACCAAGTGCATCGAATCAAACTAGTGATACTTATTTACTCGGTCGGTATTGAAACGAACATACTAACTATACAATCAAACTGAACGAATGTATGTCAGTGAACATATCAAGATTGAAAGCTCGATGCTGAATTGCGTTCCCTACCTGCATTTAGTACCTGTACCAGCAGCAACATTGCACTTTGACGTTTAAATTTGACATAAAGTACGTGAAACTTATGTCAATTTTGAAATAAGTTGCATCCGAATTGTAGGTACTTACCTACGGAACCTAACCCTGTCCGCCTAGACACAGAGCTAGGTTCTAAGACAATAGGACAACAGCCTTATTAATGAGGAGTTACCCTGGTACTTCTCTCTCTACAAAAAACTCATATATGTTTTCTAACCTATTACAACTTTTCAGACACTTGCTAGCTCTTCTGCAGGTCCAAACTTTACAATCTAGCCTCTTTTTAAGTACAGCTTAAGCCTTAGCCACTTGTTCCATTGATAAGGTAGAAATGAATGTAATTTAGATCGAAACATAAAAAATATATTTTTTGCATGTCGGCTGTCACGGCAGGACCGACATTACAGTAAAATATTACTGAAATACAAGCTCCGACCTAGTTCAGACAAAAGCACCTCACAATCTATGAAACTTACGCAGGCATTGTTTCATATTATAACCTATACGAACCTACATGTAAGAAAGTTGATGATAAAGTGATTATTATTACCGTGAATGTAATGTTAACCAAAGCGACAGTCCGCCAATACATCAGGGTGCCAAAGAGGAACTGCGTGAAGACGCCCAGGATGATGGCCATGGTGCTGGTGGCGGTTAGGGCCCCGCGCAAGTGCGGCTGCGTGATCTCCGCCACGTACGTCAGCACCTGCACAATTCTCCAAATCAATCATCCTTACGTTTCCGTAAAGTGTGATTTTCATTTCAAACGGCGGTTACGAACGGGGGCGTATTATAAAGTATTTCAAATCCTAGATACAAGATACGTATTTACTGAATACTTTTTAAGATAAAATAGTTTTTGACAGAAAGCCCTTTTTTGTTTGTTGTTGAAGGTTTATTTATGTTAGTAAATTTTATTAAAATGAAAAAATATATATCTTAGTTTAAGTCCGAATTTGATTAAATTCATCCTCTCGAATAAGAGCGACCGCCTGGGGAAGTAACCCCCACCTTGCTTCTCCAAGGTACACAGTAAAATAACACTATCTTTTGGTGGTGTTGTGTTTCTGTCGTCTACTCCACGGGGTAGTGAATTGGATAAGGATAGGTAACGGCAGCGTGGCGCGAGTATTGCAAGTATAGATAGGCAATGGTGGTTGCTTACTTAAGGTGCTGTCCGACGATCTGTGTCATTGTGGGTGAGGTCGCGCCGCGCAGGGTTGCCAAACGTATGAGAACCCTAACGTTAGAGACTTAGCAGTATCTATAAATGATACGAGGTGATGATACGATGATACGATTGAGGATGCATTTAGTGATGGCAAGTTATGATGAGAGATCGCGTAACCATTACTACGAGTAAAATAGAAATAGCACAAAAAGTTAGTCTTGCGTCAAACAGGCCTTTGAGAGAAAATGTATTGTCTTAAAAAATCTTCATAAACATTATGTTTAAACAGTTACTAACTTTTCGTGTTACGACCATTAAAAGTTTAATTTAAACAAACAATGTTTTCATAATTTCTCCAAGAAAAATTATGTGAACCTCAAGACTGAGAATTACAGTGCGATAAGGAATATAAGAATCGAATTCGCTTTGTTTCAGTCACCATGGCTTTTTATTATCGAACGCAATTTATATTCTACCGACACCGGATGTCCATTGGATTGCCTTTTTTATGAACCTGTTTGATGTTGATGACTGGCGTGAATGTACGCTCATTTACAATGATAGCGATTATGGTACATTGGTTCATACAAGAGGTGACCGATGTACTAACGAGTAATGTAACGAGGAAGCGCTCACGAGATACATTTCGAGCGAAGTCGCTTTCCGCTCCTGCCTGTAACTCCGCTACGTCCTTATAAACCACATAGCAGATTTTGATGTTGTTTTTAGGGTTCTGTACCTCGAAAGAAAAAAACGGAACACTTATAGGATTACTTTGTTGTCCGTCCGTCCGTCAGTCAAGACCTTTTTTCTCAGGAACGCATGGAGGTATCGAGCTGAAATTCCAAGAGACTGTAGACCTTAGTATTTATCAAATACAGAAAGGACAGTAGACCTTAGTATTTGATAAATACCAAGGTCTACTGTCTCTTGGGGCTGTGAAAAAAACAAACTTCTAAGACAACGCAATCAAAAGATACAGCCGTTTTTGCCGGAAATATAGAGGAACTCGCAAGGGAATCAAAACCTACAGGGTACTTTCCGTGAACTCAGAATCTTAAAATTTGGTACGAAACAACGTAAAGCACAGATAAAAATAAAAAAATGTGAAGACCGTAAATTTTTAGTTACATCGCATATATTTTTTTTATAATTATTATATGGAGTCCTACCTGTACATGATCAAGTGTGTTGTGCATTACTGATTGAAAACTATCACAATAAAGACTTTCTGAATGCCATTCAACGAAAGAAACTAACACGCAGTGCCTCAAAGATTATATTTGAAGTACCAAGGTATAGCAATCTGTATGGTAAACAGTTGCTTCAACACCAGATTCGTAAATTGATAAATAATCTGCCAGAAACAACTAAAAATAAAATTACTAATAATGAATATATAAATAATACATTAATTCCATTTTAAAAACATATTTTCTATCCCTTTTAATAACAAAAACACAATAACCAACATCAACATGATATAAAACTAAATCAAAAAATAAACAAGAAATCAGCCCGTGTGTTTCCACTCTTTTGGTGTATTACTCTGCGCAGTGTTTGGCCAATAGCTACTTAGCTTTTCACTAAAGGCGGTGCGGTATATATAAAAAAAATATTAATAACATTACCTTACCGATTAATGTCTAATGAATGAATGGTTTAATTTAAATTTGTTGATTGAGTAGACGTTCCTGCGGGTCTTGATGGCGAACGGCAGTGTCCGGGAAAATCAATACTGGTTTATGAGACATTGTTATACACTCAAGATTATAATGTATTTCTTTCTATATAATAAATAAATAAAAATAAAATATACCTACAGGTGTGTACAGAACCCTCGGCGCGCCTGTTCGACTCGCACTTGGTCGGTTTTTTGCCATTTGCAGCTAGTTAATATTTCATAAAATATTTAAGTGTATGTATGCTTTATGTACAAGCCCAAGAGCAAAAACTATAGTGTACACCTAAGCCAAAAGGGCGGGTCTCTAGTATTTACTATTTCTTTATGTTTGCTTTCTTTATTGTATAGAGAACGAATATTATAAGACTTGCGAAATTAAATATGGAGTGCGTTTACTCACAAAAATCGTGCACATTTTATAAAAGGCCATGCATAGTTCTAGAAAGCTGCCATAGGGCATACACTTTAACAAGAAATCATAGATGAAGTGTATTTGGTATAGCAAATGTTGATCCTACAGGACAACGGTTTTTGCTTACATGAAACACGGGTATTCAAAGCATTACGATATTGATACATACATAGGAACAAACCAGTAATTAACGTAAAGTATTATGAATCTGTTTCCCGTGGAATGCCACATCGTTACATTTCATTAGACGGTTCTTAGTGTTTCGGGATGTTTTTAAAGGGCTTCGTATAACACACTTACGATTTTTCAACTACATTAATTTAGAGTCTGTGGATATTCAGCGATTTAAAGAACAGTAATTAATTAATATTCTAGGTACACTTACACAATAAACTTAATGGTTTTGCTTTTTCGAAATTACAAATATTCATTTCTAATTAGTTTTTGTTGCGCCATCCATAACTTCAGAATGAATTTAAAGATTTAATATTTTTTTAAAGTTTTCTTACAATTTGTACAAATTTCTTATGGAAAAGAATTCCGCCCCCGACGCTGAAAGTCCTTCAGTTGCTCAGTCTCAACACGTTACGGATGCACATAAGAATGCACCCGTCCTCTAACGCACTAAGCAGTTGTTTTAACTAAGGCTACGCTCTGCGCCACCCGATATGTGGTGCCGCAGTCATGCCTTAAAGTTTTTTATATTTTTATCAGGCAGCGCAACGACTATCGAGTCCGTTATGATCAAACGCTACTTACTTCTACTTATGTACGAGTATGTTTACTTACAGGTGCTTCTAAAAGTCCACCCGCTAGCCCAGTGAGGAACAGGGCACCGTACAGGTGTGACGTCACCGTTGAAAAGTGGAAGATCAGCCACGCTATGAAGAAGGGCAAGTTCACTAACTGCATCGCCCTCCGGCGTCCCAAAGGCGTGGTCACAACTCCTGACAGAGCGCATCCCAATGGGACTACCACTAAGTTTATAGAACCTGTAAATAAAAGACAAATTCTAAGACATATTGTTTTAAACTTCATGAGTTCATGGTCACTGACACTACACTAACGTAGCGGGAATGCTACCATGTACCTTGTTTTTTTGCGAGGCTCCGTTATTTATTATAGGCACTATTGTGTCATGATAACGGAGTAACTAACTGCCACTCTTGACTTTTATCTGTACCTTATCTGATTTGTATTAATTTTGTTAAGTATACAGGCATATTACAATTTACTGAAAAGGGCATAAGGACGTGGTCAAGCCAATATATCTGCTATGTGCAAGAAATATAACTTCAAAACATAGCAGTCAATATTTTACCATATTCTGAATGATGCACATAGAACATTTTTAGGCAACCTCTGTTCACCGTAATAATAAAACGTCATAGCTGTTTAGCAAATCCAAACTTCGGTTAATACCTATTCAAGTTATAATGATGAAAATGTCGAAATTTCCAACACACATTGACAACGATGGTAGACTACCCTTTTTCACGACTTCGTATACGAATAATACTAATTGTACTCAGACCAAGTCTTCTTTCGTTTAAAGTATCGTAATGATCATCATCAACATCGATCTTATGCGAATTTACCTACATAGTGCCAAAACTCACAGTAGTACAACACCTATCAAATCTCGCGAAATACCGCTTATGCCTAGGAAAGTACGTAACATATTGCCTAATAATAAATATTGTTTTAAACTTATTGTGATGTTCATGGTCACAAAATTATAGTTATTAGCCGGATTCCTATCATGTGCCTTGTTTTCTAATTACTCCGTGATCATGGCGTTTGCAAAATTGCCTAAATATCGGGGACTCACAGAAAACAAGTTGATAGGTACATAGTATCAATTCCTCTAATACCTATAATAGTACTTATATAAACTGTGGTGCCGTATACTTACGACGAAGTTCACGATACCTACATTATTTATAGATTTAACCAGTATTTACAGACCCTGCACACCTATTCTAGTCATCTTTATTCAGTAGTAGATATGTTGATTACAGGAAGTGCACGATTAATATTATATTAATAAACGATGCATTAGTCACGCAGTGTTTTGTTTCTGTTCAAAGAATGTCAGATGTCATGTTATTTTTATCTTTATAGTAAGTTATGTCTAAAATCTGCTAATACTCAACCAAATTGAAACTATGCTCTGGAATTTTGCTACGTAACTATTTTCTTAATTTTAATATTATTTGGCATGCATAAGTTATGCTTGTAGGTTTAGGTTATATGTACCTACTTTTAAATTATTAAGAAAAATTGTTGGAGCCAACACGATTTTCTCGATTTTTCACGAATCTTTCTTTTATAATGCTTCTGCGGGACGAAGCTTCGGGTGGCTTTGGTGCATAAAATTAGCATTTGAACTGCCAGCCTAGTCGCTAACTTTTTTGACATTTACAGTGTGTAACTAAAGAGAATATTGCGTTTCCATCAATGCTTTTAGAACAAGTATCTTGGTGACGTTATAATAAAGCAGTAGTGGATCACTAAATAGTTTGGCGGTTATCACTTTCATCTGTCAAAAGCAGTTAGAGAATAATCTTACTGGTTTGAACTTTGAATTAAGTACGCTCCTTCAGCTGCACATACAAATTTATCGTCTCCCACAACCATTTTTACGCGTGTCAAATTATCACCAGCCACGCTATCTTCTAAACGCAGCCCGCTAGGTATTTCATTACGACAGAACTAATTGAAATTACAAACGTTAATTTTTAGCGCATTTAGTACCAAAGCCACCCGAAGCTTCGTCGCACAGGTATGGGAGAAGCATTATAAAAGAAAGATTCAGTATTGTCTTACTCCTCTTAGATTTGGAGAAAGACACATATTTCTTTATATTTTATGTACTTTTTTGGGATCAGCACATACATTTAGATGACAAACTTCTTCGGAACTTTTATACACGTTCGAGGATTGCGGTCGTTGATCCTGAGTATATAAATTTTGTAGGGCATTGAAACACAATCCTCTCAGTGGTGAAGCCGCAAAAGTTAGTATAGGGTTTTTCAACAAGAACTTTGTTTTCTAAAACAAGATAAAACAAAAAAAAAATGATGAAGATGATTAAATTTTTTATTGAATTACAAAGAGAAAAGTTCAGCAATTAAGAATGAAAAATGATATCTTGCAAATGTCCACCACGAGCACGCTGACAGATGTCGATTATTTCATCAAAGTTTTTAATCACTGTTTTTGCAAAATGGCGGGACTATTTCGTTAATCACATCACGGATTTTGAGTTTTAAGGCTGCAATCGATTCGATTGTCCCCGTGTTCACTCTGTTCTTAACATAACCCCACAAAAAATAATCTAGTGGTGTTAAATCACATGATCTGGCTGGCCACTTAACAGCTGAGTTTAGTGAAATTATGCGATCGGGAAACTTGGTTTGCAATAAATTGATCGTTTCATTGGCTGTGTGACATGTGGCGCCGTCCTATTGAAACCACATATCAGTGATATCCACGTCATCAATAATTGGTAAAATTCGCCATTTGGTGGTTCTGGATAACCCTAATTGTTGAGAACGTCGCAGAATTGACAAATTTGGATCTGCCTCAACACTGTGGCTCACGGCTTTGCTTTCAGTTGAACGACCCGGTCGAACACGCGTTGGTGTTGGCACATTTTGTATCGAGCCTGTCGACTCAAATTTAACGACCAAATTCTTAATAGCGGTCTCAGAAGGACGATTATGTTGTCCGAAAATATCACGAATTTGACAAAATGTAACTGTAACAGAACCACTATTTTCATAGTGGATTTTAATTATTTTAATTCGATTTTCTAGCGAAATTGAATTCATTGTAACAATTGCCAAAACTATCATATTGTTGGTGTAGCCACAATTCAAAAACAAAGTTCTTGTTGAACAACCCTATAGATGCAACACGCGGTATAACCACGGTTTAACGCATTCAAAAAATACCTAGCTACCTGGTTATCTAAAACCATGTACTTTTTACCTTTTATCGTAAGATTTACAATAATTTTACTCCGAAAAATAAGATATTTTCTTTTTGTGATTTTTATTTTAGTGAGTGAGCAGTAAGTACAAATAAACTTTCACCTCATTGTTAATTAACGTTCTAATAAAATGACATACAAAATTATTTTGTTTACAATTTAGGTCACTTTACATAGTTCCATTCAGCTATATCGTTCGTTCTTTCCAATATCTGTACTGTTGCTGTAAATGGGCATTTCTACTGCAGTTTTTCCCTGAAGTTTCTGACCCTTTACATTTAAATAAATAAAAATAAAACGCACTAATACTCGTTTCGTCAGTTTTATTAACCGATTGACATGCGAATTACGGAATTGAGCCGTCAGGTAGGGTTTTTAAAAACAAAACTTTAAATTATAACTTGATTTATTTAAATGTTTTACAAAATTACTTATACTAATTGATCCCGATGATCAGGTCTTACAAACTATACGTCAAGATGCTTCCACGATTGAAGCTCAAGCGACTCCCAAAACTGTCCGAAGGTTTTACATGAACTAAATCTGTCTAATAAGCACTTTTCAACACGATTGCTCAATCGAGCCACCTGCACTTGGGAAACACATAATGTACGCGTGACGTATGAGTGACGTAGACGAGTCTTGTACTCGTAACACCTTCCCTCCTAGATGAGCAACTATTTGCGAAGATTGAGAGCAAATGTTGCGGCTTTTCTTTCTTCGGTGGATGGTGTAGAACCCGCTGATGCCATTTCCATCTCTTGAGGTTGTGTAGATTTAACTCGCTATTGGTTCTTACGCCGTCTCAGGTAGTAAGCCACACTAATGAGTGCAAGTGCACTTAACAGTATGATGACGTATCTAGGTATCGTGGTGTGATATAAGCTGGATAAATCCACGGTGTTAATTCTAACAGGTGGGTCCATGAGTAATTAATGTTGAATATTGTGTAATTTGTTCAAATCAATTGTTGTGAAATTATAATGTGGTAAGTTTTTCTTCGAATTTGCTGACATCGGAGTCGAATGTGGGAATGTCATTATTTCAACAGGTTGCCCACGAAATTTGTCATCAGTATTAACAATTGTGAATTCTGGTGTGTGAATGCTGCAATTTCGGGGAATCGTTGTGAAGTAGCTTCCTTTTAACAGATGATATTTTTCTTGTGCGCTTGATATTTTTACTTTGATTTTGTTAGGTAATGATAAAATATAATGTTGACTGTCCAGTTCTAGTAGTGCTTCCTTCAGGACTGATATGGATGTAGGATGGCACTCTCCTGTATTCTGATGATAAATTAGATTGAAGACGCAATCACTGCGTGTTCGGGTTTGATGGTTAAGCTGCTGCTTGTATATGTACCAGGTGTCGATCTTCGGGCATTCAGCCTCCATGTACGCAAATTCCTGGGAATTGGATGCCATGTATGGGAATGGTGGAAGGATAATTTCTAAGTTTTTGTTAGGAACAGGACAGAGTCTATAAAGATCATAAATGTTTCTAGAGACATTATAGGAAACTTCAAGACAATTACAATTTTCTTAGTAGTAAAATATGATCCTATGGTAATTAGATCGTAATAAAACCTAATATCTAAGTTTAGTAACGCACTGGGATTATATAGATTTTTAAGCTGTGTTAACATATTTTTTTAAATCACTTATATATAATATAGAATGGTGCATTACGTTTGTGCGACTAAAAGCTAAAATATTACCTAATCTACTTATTTCAGATGAGAGTTCCAGAATATTTTCCGTAAGTATGCTAAATAATTGGGAAATCTGTGTAAATTGATACATCTGTTCTTTTAACAGATGTATTACTTATTGAAATTATTGCTTTTTCTAATTTTCTTTGATTTGATGAGATATTATTTAAAATTTGAGTTTGTTGGATGATCATTTCTTTATATAAACTAATATGCTTATTAAAACTATCCGAAAGGTCTTTGTCATTGTTATTCAATATTTTAAGAGCATTCTCAAATCTCAGAGCGTCCTCGTTATTGAGGTTACCCAATATACTTTTAATGAAAGTTCCTAGCGGGTTAAAAATACCTCTTTTAAGCCTTTTTGGTTCAAAGGTTTCTAATCTAGTGAGGTTTTATTTTTGCCGTATAAATGCAATATTTGATATTTAAATAGAGCAAAATGTCAATTGTATACCCTATTGGATAGATCTGTTAGTTGAGTCTGTAGTGAGTCAATCTGTTGTTGGATTTCATCAAGGTCAATTTCTTGGAGGAAGGAGTGGTCATGTAATACAATTTTCGTTGAACCAAGTTTAAAGGGGAGAAGTCCAGGTCCATCGGAGAGGACATCAAGTCGGATCGTGTTTTGTGTTAGTGGACCTGCTTGTGCATGAAAAGGTATTTAAAAGGTTTAAATTGACGTGTAGGCATTCCAGAATTGAATTGTCTCGAAGGCATAAGTGAGTCATGCGAATTAAAAGGAGAGTAATTAAACGGGGCATTGTTAATCGATTTCTTAGAAATTAGCGGGTTACTGGCTTTAGATTGTAAGCATAAGACGTTTAATTCTTCCTGGGCGAAATCCAAGGTTTTTTCTAGCGAGTCGGGGCGCATGCACCTGACACGTGAGCCTAAAGGCTCGGCTAGGCCTCTGGTATATGTTTGAAGAGCAAATTTTTTTGTAAAGTTCACGTTTAGCTACAACTGTTGTTTTAATTTGTTCGTGTAATTCTACATAAGCCATAATTATACTAAGTAAATTTTGAACTCGCTCGTAAAATATTTGTGGTGTATCGGAACCTTGAGTTAACATAAATAAATCGGTGTATAGGGCGGACTCGTCTCTGTGGTCTGAAAACCTGTTGATTAGCACATTTCTTATGCCATTCCAGTCCTGGGGGATGCTATTTGTTGCTAATGTTTTAGCAGCAGGCCCGGTTATTTTATTTAAAATTCCATTAATTAAAGCGTAATTATTTAGTTCATTTCCGGAGCTGGATTAACATATGTTAAAATCAGTTGGTCGCAAATGTTCAAAAATCTAATTAAAATGTTCGAATTTCCATCAAACTCAGGAACTAGCCTTAAAGATTTCCAAATCCTTTCTGTCATATCATTTGAATAAGCTACAGATTGTTGTTCGGTCGCCATTTCTTCTTCTATGCTTTCTAATGTAGATAATTCGATTTCGCAATGAAACCTTAATTCTCTAGAATTAGGACGAATACTGCGCCGCAGATTCGGTCAAAAAATCTTGAAAACTTTCTAAACTATTAAAAGAAAACTTAATTAATTTACTTATTACGTCCTACGGGAGACAGGAAAGGGGCCGCTGTCAGCCAATAGGAATATCTAGCAATCTTTCTAACTATTGAAACAAAATTATTTAATTTACTTATTACGTCCTACGGGAGACAGGAAAGGGGCCGCTGGCAACCAATAGGAATACGTAACTTATAAAATATAACTCACAGGAGCAGGATGCTTAGCTTAGTGTGGTGATGGGCCATCGATTTTTGGATTAGCGCCGTTTTTCGAATTTGATTCTTCTTTCCCGTCTGACGACTGCTTCGCGTAGATTCGTAGAGATAGTCGACACGCCGACGACACGACTATCAGGCGGATCGAAGTATGATGCTCGCACTGACTCGACTATCCTACCGACTGCGCCAATTACGGAATTGAGCCGTCAGGTAGGGTTTTTAAAAACTAAACTTTAAATTATAACTTGATTTATTTAAATGTTTTACAAAATTACTTATACTAATTGATCCCGATGATCAGGTCTTACAAACTATACGTCAAGATGCTTCCACGATTGAAGCTCAAGCGACTCCCAAAACTGTCCGAAGGTTTTACATGAACTAAATCTGTCTAATAAGCACTTTTCAACACGATTGCTCAATCGAGCCACCTGCACTTGGGAAACACATAATGTACGCGTGACGTATGAGTGACGTAGACGAGTCTTGTACTCGTAACATGCGTGTAAACATAAGAAGTAAATAAAACAATACTTACTTATCCATGATAACTCCGATTTATGCAAATGCAACACTTCGCCATCCACTGGATTTTGCACTGAAGGTATCAGAATAGTAGGGAAGCCCAGAGTCATGCCATACCCTGAAAATACAAATAAATTATTAATAAACGTGCGAAAGAAGCGTGTGCTTATTACACGCCCTTTAGCCCCATCTGTATATATATATATATGTGTGTGTGTGTGTGTGTACAATATATACATGTATGTAAAGATACATATTTCATTTACTAGCTATAAGAGCTTTCTCTTTATATCCCCCACTCAACTCCCGTTCGCCGTAAATGTCAGATCATAAAGTATCTATCATTTTATACCTAACCTAGTGCCTTTTTATAGATAAAAGTCTTATTAATTCGGTTCCGTGTTCACAACAAAACCGCCAGAGATGATGTTCCACTTTATCTTTTAGAAAATAAAATCATAGACTACAGAGCCTGATCCAACTCATCACTCTAATGATGTGAAAACGGGATGGCTTAGTTTGGCATGAGCTCCAGAAAACATATGACCATATTCTGCGTCCTGCGGAACTAAAATTACTTCCTTAACCATCTGCACTTATTTATACTACTTACGGTTGTTAACCACTGAAGACCAACCAGGCTGTGGATTGGGACAGCGCGGCGAGAGTCGGAAAAAGTGAGAAGCTCTAGTCACCAGAGCTTCTTAGTTTACTTATCCACTACAGTCTAATGGTTTCCTGAACAAGAGCATTCATTCTGTACGTAACTGGTACCATTAGATATAAGTCTTGGTTGCCAGTGCACTTACTCAATCTACGAATAATACAGTGCACTGCATATGGTGATTGTATTATACGTACCACAGCGAGCGGTTCAATTCGCAGTCGCAGAATGTATGTATCTCGAGTCAATTTCGTAAGCAGCGTCCTCAATGACAAATTGTGATCGTTCATAACCTAAACTAGTATGTTTGTATATTGCTTAACAGTACTAGTACCACGGATCAAAGAGCGCTTTCAATGATTCTTTATGTATCGACTACCTAATTGTAGAATATGTAAGCGTGGTCTTGCGTTTTTCCTTAGTAAAGTAGGTAGTTTATTAGATTTTTCGTCAGTAGGTTGCTCTCTCAAAACTCGATTTAAAGTATTTCGTTTCCCAACGAGTGCCGGTTACCATATAATTTGCCTGTTTGAACGCGGTCTTTCGACACATACCGTTTTCAACAGAGATTGAGCGCAAGGAGGTTTTTCAGCCTTACGATGCCCACTGCTGAGCATAGGCCTCCCCCAAGGATCTCCACACCGATTGGTCGTGCGCCACTCGCATCCATCGGCTTGCCGCGACCTTCACAAGATCGTCGGTCCACCTTGTAGGGGGCCTGCCCACTGAGCATCGTCCGGTGAGTGGTCGCCATTCCAGAACCTTTCCGCCCCAACGGCCATCGGTTCTTCTTGCTACGTCTCCCGCCCACTGCCACTTCAGCAGAGCAATCGTTCGAGCGATATCGGTTACTTTGGTTCTCCTACGGATTTCCTCATTTCTGATTCTATTGCGTAGGGAAACATACCTATGAAATTATCTTTAATTGCATAGGTCCGAGCAGCTGTTAAGAGGGGAGGCTTTTTGAGACGTAAAATATAATATTACTTATATCCTCCTATATCCTTCGTTTACTCCTATATCTTTCTATTTTCAATAAGTTTTGTTTCAAAGAAACTAAAAGCCCTCAAAAATGTCTAAAATAAGCAATTTTTAACGTCTTGTGTGGAGATTTAATAAGCATTTACAAAAAAAGCAAAACATAGAGGCAAAGTAAAACTATTAATTATTCTATGGGTAAAAATTCTTTAACCTATTTATATATCTAATTTTTTAGGAGGAAATCGCCGAGAGCTAAACCTCGAATTTTGCAATTTTTATACGCAATTTTCAGAGTTGACTTCGTTGTCCCTATCGCACGGTATTTTTACTTAAGTGGCGAAGCTCAATGGAAAATACCTTCCCACAAACTGTAGTCTTGAACTTATGATACGTGGTAAAAAGCCGAAAAGTTCTAAAAGATCCGTAAACTGCAGTAAACTTTTTTTAAAACTGTATGTTTATTTTTGTTATCAAATGGCTTTAACGTGATATTTCATTACAATTTTATGTAAACTAAATACCGATAGGCATGAGTTTCTTAAAAAGAAATATAAGTGCAGAGTTATAATTTTGAGTAATAAAAATAGAAGAAGAAGAAACAACTTACATAAGACGTTTAAAATTGTGGTGGTGTAGTGATAGGAGTTCAACATAAATAGGCTTTGACAATTTTCGAACTTCCTAGACGTGCATTTTTCAAAAAAATACTTTTACAAATAATTTTGACATGGCAGCATACTTATCAACAAGTTACATCAGCTAACGCGGTTAGTCCAGCGGTTCTATATTTTTAGGTAAACTTACAGCAAACAAATAAATAGATGTATTTTTAAAATGACTTTTCAATATAAGGAGGTACCTAATAAAAAATAATTTTATGTATGACTGACTGGTGGGGTGCCCATACAAAATCAAACAAACAAATTCACTTTCGCAATTATAATATTAGTTAGGTAGGATTGACGAATTATATACAGAGAGGTAGGTACCTAGAAGCAATAAGTTCTTGACGCTCACTGCTATGATCTGAGGTAGCGCGGTGCGGAAGTCTTTTTTGTAGCGTTGGGGGAGGGCGCAGAGCTCTTCTTCAATGGCATCTTTACACGTAGCCATCTACACAAAGAAATAAACACACACTGAAATTTACAAAAAAAACTATAAGTAATTTATACAAATACAGTCGGTTAAGCATCAGCCATCATTAAGTATTTCAAAAGCTGCGTATTTGAAGTGTGAGAAACTGGTGCATGAAGTAGGCATTAAAGGCCTGTAGTACAGGTCGCCAGGCTCCCACCCCACAGAAATTATCCTACATTGACATATATGATAACATAACTTACGTATAACTTATAAATATTACCCATATTATTATTCTACTTCTTCCTCAATAATTTAGCGATCACTTAGTTTAGTGCTATTTGCCCATTAAACCTAGGTTATTTATACATTACTGTTGAGTTACAAAGAGGGACTCCGTGCTGTCATAATTCATGGCACTCAACCATTCGTGCACCTTTACTTTGCATTCGTAAGTATTACATGTGTATATTTGTAGTCTTCTATCTATGCCAGTGTTTCCTAACCTTTCCAATACTGCTACCCCTGTAACCTATTAGGAAAACAGATTTTACCCCGAATTTAAAATGTTATCTTCATCCAAGAAATTCCAATTTGGCAGCTACATCTTCGTCTCTACTAATGTCATCATCAGGAGAGAATCTCGCCCCGCTTCCCACACTCAGCGGGGGCTCACTAGCAAGAAGGAGCGCTCTATTTAGATATGACCAAATAATTAGGTTCTTTGTTACCCCCGAAATAGTCATAGTCATTTATTCCTTAAACAATTTTCATCGTATTGGAAATCACAAACAATTTACAATAAAATTATTAGATAAAATTAAAATTACAATCCATTTAAATATGATTAACATAAAAATACAAAAATTCTTATATAACATTTCAAAGTCAATCAAACAATTTACAATTAAATTATTACTTCATGAAATATTAATAAAATTAAATATTATTAAAATGTCAGCATACAATTTGAAATAAATCGATTATAATTTAAACATGTCAAAGATTTTTCATATTAGATTTAAATTTCTGTCATCTAAATATTCTTCTATGGAATAGTAACACTTCTTCAACAAGAACATTTTAAGTTTGTCTTGGAATTTATATGGACAGTAAATGGTTTTCAATTCTATAGGGAGAACATTAAATAGCTTGATAGCTTGGAATCTCACGCAGTGACTGACAACGTTAAGCTTAGGTTTGAAGGCACTTTTCAAATCTTTTCGACGAGTTAGTTCCCTCTTTTTTCTGTCTATATCAGATTCGTATTTGTGCAGGTTTTTTACTAAATGGGATAAAACAACTAAAATATATAAGCAAGGGACTGTCATAATACCTAATGCTTTAAAATGTGGTTTGCACGAATCTGTCTGTGGGATACGCACATAGTCCGGATCGCACGCTTTTGTAAGACGAATGCTACCAAAATATTATATTTGTAACTATTGCCCCAGAACATAATACTGTAACGAAGTTTTGATTCAACCAGAGCAAAATAAACTAATTTAAGCTGCTTCAAGGTGATTTTATCCCTTAAACTTCTTATGGCATAGCACGCTGAGCTTATACTAGATTTGAGTGATTCAATTTCATTTGTCCAATATAAATCTATGTCAATGTGGATTCCTAAGAATTTTAGCGATTTTACGGAGTCTATATCTGTACCATTCACATTTATTCTTAAAATATCTGTGTTTCTGGCAGTAGACCTGAATAGCATGGCTGTTGTTTTTTTTGAATTCAATAAAAGACTATTGCCTGCAAACCAGTTTTCAAAATGAAATAGCGTACTATTTACTTTAATGCTCAGCTCGTCAATATCTTTGGCAGATATTATTGCATTTGTGTCATCGGCATAAATGGTTAATTTAACATCCGGTTGTTTTAGAGCCATATAATTAACTAGGTCATTCAAAAAAACTATAAAGAAAATAGGTCCTAAATTTGAGCCCTGTGGGACACCTCTTTTTAATATTTTCAATTCTGATTTACATATTGTCTCTACATCATTTATTATGTTTTTAATTTCAATAAACTGCTTGCGACCTGACAAATAAGATTGAAAAAGTTTTAAATTTGTACCTCGAATTCCATAATGTTCCAATTTCTGAAGCAATATGTCATGATTTATTGTATTAAAAGCTGAGCTTAAATCCAAAAACAGACCACACACTTTCAGCTTTTCATTTAACTTACATACAATATCATCAACTAAGTTATTTATAGCATCAGTTGTTCCCAATTGCTTCTGATATGCAAATTGTCTCTCATTTAGAAAACCATTTTGACGTAAATGTGATAGTAGTCTAATTTTAATAAGTTTCTCAAAGATTTTTGATAAAATTGGTAATAAAGAAATAGGCCTGTAGTTTTTCGGGTCTAGTTTATTTCCTTTTTTATAAAGTGGGAGTACCCTTGCTATTTTGAGTTGTTCAGGAAACAAATTTTGTGCAATACATTTATTATAAAAGCAAGCCAATGGTTCAGCCAAAATGTTGATGTGCTCTTTTATCACTCCAATGGATCATATCATACCCGAACGAGGTTTTACAATCTTCAAAACATCATGCTTTGTTATTATATTTAAATGCATATCAGATTCAACTCTTTTCACGCTTTCCTCCAATATATTTTTTGCTATATTTGGATTGTCTCCATTTGATGAGTCTATCGCATCGAAACAGCTTGAGAAAATATTTGCTACCTCTTGGTGATTGCTTATTATTTTATCGTTTACTTTTAGTAATATTTCATCTTTGGTTTTAGCTTGACATTTACTACTTCTATTAACTATTTTCCAAATTTCCTTATTAGAGTTAGATGCCATCATGATTTCTTTCTGTACAGTCATTTTCCTAGCTGTTCTTAACACCTTTCTATAGATCTGTAAATATGCCCTTTTGTATTGGTTTGCATACTCTCCGTGGCATATTTTAATATTAAGTGTCAAAAATCGTTTCATCTTACTAGATACTCTAATTCCCTGTGTCAACCATTGTAGTCTATTATTTTTATATGGTTTTATTTTTCTTGTCCTTTTTTTTTACTAACTAACTAGTTTTGAACGAGTTTTCAAATTTTTTGAGAAATGTATTTATTCCTAGGTTTTTCCAATCGATTGCAAAGATCTGTTTTTCACACTCTCTCGAATTTTGTTCATTGTAAACTCTACGCATAATCTTAATACTCTTGTTCTTATTATTAAATCCCTGATTGTCCACATTTAAGGTACAGTATAAACCCGCATGTCCATCCGCAAGTCCATTGTGATCTATCTCAGTCATTATTTCGGTATCGTGCATATTGGTCAAAATATTATCAATGCAAGATTGCGTGTCATTGCGTTTATATGTCGCAGTATCGATTAAGCATTTAAAATTATAACATGTCAAAAGTTTTAAAACATCATTTTACTGCCTATCTTCCCTTAATAAATTAATGTTGAAATCCCCACACAACACACAATTCTTATTGAAAAAATGTTCCAAAAACTTTTCTAAACTTTCTAAAAATACATCAAAATTATTTTTTACTGGATTTCTATAGCAACAACAAACGTTAATATTCGACTCTTTATCTTTTACACCACATATCTCAAAACACTCAGATTTGTACAATTTCTTACAGAAAGCAATTTCTTCACAATTTACATCGTTTTGTCCTAATATTATAGATCCTCCACGCCTTTTACTCATTCGGAAATTATAAGCTACTGTCCTATAGCTTTCCAGATAAAAAGTAGGGGCAGAAGATTCATTTAAAAAATGTTCACAAAAACAAACATAGTTCAAATCTACCCTCTTTGAATGGATATACAACTCCAACTCATTTTTCTTATTACTAACACCACATACATTTTGATAAAAAATATTAATATTATTGGTTTTATGCGTTATATTTAAGTGATTATTATGGGCGAAAAAAGGAATTGCAGTTTTTAGGGGATAGATCCGTATAAGTTGTTATATCTACATTGCTATTATTTAATCTGTTATCCATCTGATCTTTATTTAACATGAATGACGTATCAGTTTGTGTATAAGTACTTTTAAACTTTTTTAGTTCCTCTTCTTGCTTTAATAATGTATACTGTTTAAAGTTAAAAACATAATCCAAGTGTAATATCTCCTTTAACAATGAACGAGTAAGATACAATCTCGAAGAAAATTCATTATAATTCATATTTAGATACAAAACATTCTCATGTCTACTTGAAATAAATCTGAACACATAATTTAGCTTTTGTACATTTAAATAAGAATTATGGGGAACCTCACAAATGATAACCTTAGCGTGATGTACGCCACTCAACCACATATTAAGTTTCACTTGTAGAAGCTCCGGATTTTTGGCGTTTATTCCTCCGAGTACAACAATAGTGTCCCTTTCCGTCAGATTTATTGATTTAGGATTCCATATATTCAATACCTCGGCTAGTGTGGCACCTGGTTTCATAAAGCAGTAAACCTTGAAATCATCACCGGTGAACTTTTGCAATCCTTGCCTAAGATCTCTACCTTGCTGATCCGCCAAGATGATGATTTTCTTTTTATCATTATCATGATATTTTTCATTGATTCCTGTTTTCTCCAAAACATTCTCTAAAGTATCACAGGTTACAGCTCCGTTAGTCAGGGTATTTTGGTTTCCAGAAAAATTGTTCGAAAAGTTATTCCTATATCTGTCCAATTCTGCAATGTCAGATTTACGATCACAGCGTTTTGGCGTCAGATTTAAATCTAAAAATATATTTGGATAGTTATGTATTGGAGATCCTCTTGGCAATCGCATACCTATGTTCAGGATTTTGTTTTTTAGTGGAGTATTTTTGATCTTTCCAGTCGGATAGTTAGTTGCCAGCTTTTTAAGTGTTTTAATCTGTAATTCTTTTCCCTTAGCTTTAATTTTAACTCATTTAACTCCACATTTAAATTCTCCACTTCCATATCCGCAATTATAAGTTTGTCTTTAACAATTTGTAGCTCGCCTTTGAGTTCTTCTATGTCAGGGTTATGATGTGAAAAACCATCCAATGC